TGTACGCGATTACAATTATGCGCTTTTCCGCCCTTATTTACATTAAATTACGCAAAGGCCCATTAGATTCACAGATAAGAGCTTACATTCTTTGCCACACGAGAGAAACGAGCGTGATAAGTAGGTAAGTTATACAAGCAGTAATACGTACACAAAGGCCCATTCACGAACAAAGACGGGCTTACTTGATTTGAAATTAACATTTCGCGGGCAGATTGGCCGCGGTTCATTGAAAACACTCCATTGAAAAGGCATCCCAGATGAAGATACAAAACACGCTTACGGGTACCCCTGCACTTCCGCGAGGAAACCCAAATCCCTTACTCGGGAATCCCGTCTAGATAACAAAAAAGCACCGTCATCGCGCGAAATCGTAACTATAAAGTGCCATTCTCGATCGCGTTTCACTCGCGCGGAGGTGCAATAAAATAACAACCACCCGACGCCCAACAATCCACGCGAGAGACAGTATATATACACGTATAGGCACTCGTGTACTCTCCATGGGGGGGGAGAGAGAGAGTAAGCGTGTAACACGTTGGGTGGGGGAGGAAAAAAAAGGAAAAAAATCAATTGGGAGGTGAGCGAGAAAACAAGGCAGAGCCTTATCTACAGGGCAGCGGATAAGTCCGCGAACAAAGGAACTTTTCGAGAGGAAAGGGAGCAAAGGCATCGCACGGAGATAACGTGCCGTGGCGCATTATGGGCTTTCGAAAAAATAAAAATTGAAAGGAAAAAAAGACACGAGGTATAATGCCTGCGATTATCGAAATTATTTATGGAGTCGCGTCCAGTACGTAATGTACCTATGCGAGCCGTGCGTTTCAGTGCTGGCTCTGGTAAAAACAAATAAGCGATTATTACGTGGAAAGGGCCCCAAGAGCGAAACGAGCAGGTAAGGGAGCACATCATCCAATATCGCCCCTGCCTCTTCTTCTTCTTCCACGTAAAAGTGAGATGTAGTATATAATATGTACATGAGCTCCGGGAGGCTGATTTTAATTATTTGCACTGGCAAGTACACGTAACGAGGGCCCATCTTCTTCCCCTTCTTCGTTTTCTTGCTCCGGTTCCTCGGATTGATTGGCCCGCAAATGTGAAATTATTAGGAACGAAGGAGATGCACACGGGGAATTGGTTGGCTGGCCCACATCGTTCTCGCTCCCAGTTTTGTACTCATCTCCCTCAAAGTTACTCGTGTATACGTGTATAGGTATATACGGAGGGGCTATATAATAACTGGCCTCGGTAATCGGGCGCGTCGTGAGGAGCTGCTCTTGGTATATAAGTAACCACGTATCCTGCACACACAAGCAAACGAGTGCAAGAAGAGCGAGAATTGGAGTGGGAAAAGCACCGCAAGATGATGTTCGCGGAGATGTATCGTGAGGAGCCTCACTCTCCAGCCCTTGGTTTTTTTTTCCCTCTGCCTCTTCTTCTTTTTCCACTTCGACGTGGGAGTTCCACGCGCGATATTTCGCCAGGACTAATTGGCAGATTTTTTATTGCGCGTGACGAGAGAGAGACGCATTGTATCGCGTTATTTATGATTTGGTAGTTTAAATGGAAATTGATTGCCCACAGCTTCCTCATCTCTCTCGGCCGTCGATTGTTTTCTTCCTCTTTTATTTCTTCCTGTTGCCGTCGTCTTTCAGCCCGTGTAAAACTCAATTAAGAGCGAGATGCCTCTCAGGCGGCTTATCGCCCGCCCGGGTGTATATCTCGGGTGTAATTAAACGGCTCCTGGCAATTGCGTGCATAAATCGAGCCTAATTGAAAATGTACGGCCCTCGTTTTGTCATTTTTCATTAAAAAATGTAACGGTTTCCGAGAAATAATTTCTGCGTGCTTGTTTGCTCAAATAAATGCTCTTTTTCACCAAACTGTTGAACGACAGGGGGAGAGCAAAGAGAAAAAAAATGATGGATTTAAAAAAATGGAGAAAGCGATAAAAAAAACTCAAGTGCCGCTAACTTGTAAATTTGAATGATTATCCTCTAGTATCGTGGGTAAAAATAAGAAAAGCAATGTACATGCGGAAGAGAACGGAAAAGTAATCAGTGTAACTGGGAATCTAATCGGCTGGTGTAGGGAATAAGCTAGTTAACCAGAGCAATGGAGTTTCATACAACAAATATCAAGCAGCAAACTGTAGGAGATGAGTACGTTAGCAGCAGCTATATAGCTCGGCGAGCGCTACTGGTAGTAGGAAGCAAAATATGCTCTGCTCTACGTGCTGCCGCTTCTTCCTTTACTTGCAGTAGAGATATATCTCTAACACATCTCTTTTTTCTGCGAGTGTAGGCGCACTTATGAATGCAAACTGAAACCAAAAGAGAGAGAAAGAGACTGTGTCTGCATATAATATGCAAGAAATGTAGGAAAGAGAGAAACAACATCCCGGCACGGATGCACTGCTCAAGTACTTATATAATATTATGCACCGTATACTTACCAAAACCACTCGAGCCTTTATGCTGATTTTCCACCGTGCAAGGTTATATTCTTTTGTGAGAATTAAATACTTAAGTATTTGTCGAGCTCGGTTCATAATCACAGATAATATCTGAACCTGCACTCTTCCTACACCTTATGTTGTAATACATAATTTATAGGACGACTCAAACGCTGTTACGTCAATCGATTATTTAGGTTATTATACAAATTCTTACTTCGAGCATGTATCATTTACTGCCTGTGTTTATCTCATTAAAATCTGTCAATATTAATGTCCCCTTCCGCTACTTGACCTTACTTACTCATTAAAAAATAAAATAAAATCTAAATCTTATTAAATCTTGCGATTTTAAGTACTTACCATGATAAATGTATGTGTGTATGTTACTCAGGTTGACACATTCATTTGTATATAATAGCACTTTCATTAGCTGTACCACCTGTAGTAAATCACAATACTTAAACATCGCTTATTCAATACTTTCAATTTATTACATATATTAAATGATTAGAACACATACGCAAACGATGAATCTGATACTTTCAATGGTTCCAAATGGCCCGAATCGGAGTCGGCCACCCAGAAGATGCAGAAAAAACGATGCCTCCTGGAGTAGTGCCATCATCCTCTATTGTGACATTGCCAAATTAAAAACGTCACTCGTTCTCAGAGGTAACCTGAAAACAATACCTCCTGTCAAATTAGATTCGCGCAAGCAGAACGTCAACTGCCACTTTGATGTGTAAAGATGACGTATGCTTTTGTCCTTTGCTTAAAAATGACACATAAGCCCATAGCCGGGTATAACATACATCTGTACTTTTACGCTGTCCAGCAACGGCGCGAGACATCAAAGCAGTAGATCTCGCCAGGTTCAAACCTACTTTGCACACATACAAAGACTGTCACCCGAGCATAAACAAGGCAGTTTCTCAATAAGGGGGATATGGATATTGGATGCCCATGTAAAAAGCTACTGTATCCTATATACTCACATTTTGCAGTAGCTGGCAGAAAGATCAAACCAAACGGCTCATCAAGTCCCTGCATCCCCTTTTTCGAAATGTCACTGATGCACATAGAAGAAATCCGTGGCGAATCGAAACAGTTTCCTGGCGTGACGAAAACGAAACCATCAGTCTCCTCCTCGACTCCGGAAAAAAGAGATCTCTTGGAGGAAAACCGTAACCCGGTGGCCGTATAACACCGGCCTTACACACACACGTAGGTATACTTATACATCACGTCCATATAATGCCACGCGTAACCAACGAGCACAAGTATAGAGGGAGAGAGAAGAGAAACGACGAAGGATAGAAGACGAGAAAACGAGCCTCCTGTGCTCACGTACACGCTTTACACGGTACACACACACAGAGAGAGAGTCGTTGTGGCTATAAAAAGGAAGAATACAAAAAAGCAGTCAGCGGTGCAGCAACGAGAGTAAAAAAAAGAACGCGACGAGCTTCGGGTGTTCTCGGGCAGGTTCGCCAAGGGCTCCGATCCGTGTATTTCGGAGTTTCGGAGCAGACCGTAGCGTTCGGCGCGCATGCGCACTTTGTTCAGCAGACGGCGGCGGCTGCTATACGTGCCTCCACCGCTTGGTCCGCGAGTCAGTGTCGAGCGACGAGTCCGCCGATGGCGGCCGCGGCATAACCGATCGGGGTTTCCGCGAGTAAACTCCTCGCGTTTGGCTGTCCAATTACTTTGGGCTTGTGATCTCTGATCAGCTGCTGTTATTGTTTACGGCCACGCCTTGTCACTGACACTTGTGTACACTGCCAGACAAGTGCCGACTCTTGGCGAATAAAATACACGTACAATCGCGCGTCGTTGAACTGTCAAAGAAGCCGCACGGTGTATGTACTTATCATACACATTTGCACACTCAATTTTTTTCTCCGAGGCAACCTCGTGCTGGCTCTCGCCGCTGTCGTTTGTTGTAGCGGCAGCAAGTACACCAACTTATATATTAAACGGAGCAGCTGTGCACGGGAGGTTGCCGTGTGTCGTGCTCGTGTATAAATAAGTACTATATACATAGGTGGTTACAGTGCTCTCGTATACGTATATTATATAGTATCGGCGAAGGAGCAAGAGAACGGCCTGCTAAGGAGGAAGACGGAGAAGAAGGCACATAATACACGAGAGGGAGAGACCAAGAAAGAAAAGAAAGAGCAAGGGAGAGAGAGAGAGAGAGAGGAGTTCAGGATGCGAGGGAGCAGCGGCTCTCCCCGGGAAAAGGCAGCATCTACAACAGCAGCCGAGAGACGCTGAGGCTCCTCTCTGCCTTCGCCTCCTCTCCATCTGGTTTTGCCCCCGGTACATATACACACACAACCAAGCACGCTGCACAATACCCGCGCATCATAATACACGCGCACGTATAGGCCCTCGACAATGGAACATCCGCGTGTGTTTTGCGCTTAAAAATAACAAAATCAAACGATTCGATCCAGACGTGCGTTAATAAGCACACGAAGAGGGTTTGTTTGTATCAGCCGTTGTTGCTGTCGGAAAGTATAGAGTAAATTGCGTCAGGATGAGGCTGTCGATCGGAGCTACATTGGCGGTGGGCGCGTGTCTGCTGCTAGCCGAGCCGGTAACCGGCTTCTTCAACCTCTTCCTCAGCCAAGCGGAGGTCCGCAAGCTCATGGGTAAGTTTCGACTTGTGTACTTGAATTATTATAAGAATATACACCGTATATGCCACGAGCGTATATTTAACATGCGCGTGAGTACACAAAAAGCTTTCAACGTCTTGTTTATTTGAAGTTACGGAGTTTTATCGTTTCGCGGCGATTGTTTTTTCTGTACACTCGTTCTCCAGCTGTACGGTGATTTACTTTGCACGCGTGGCCGGCTGGATTTGGACCGATTGATTTGTTTATCTTGGATCCATCGGGGCTTCGTTTCTTTTTTTTTTTTTTTTTTTTTTTCTCGTCCAAGAATAATGCGCCGCTGGCTGGCTCTTTACCGTTACTAACGACGGGAGGGATCACGCGGAATCGCTGCTGCGATCGTCCGTCAAATCATCTTTTCACTGTATAGTATAGTTGTCGATAAACGTATGTGTGTGTTTTGTAAATATTACGGTAATATTTGAAGTTGGAGTAAAACAAAACGGTTGCTTGAACATCAGCGTTATATTATCTCTTATCTTCATCGTTCCGCGTGATTAATAACCGAGGCGTGAAAGTTTCCACAAGCACTCTCGCGTCTATACCGAAAAGTACGCGTCTGACCAGTTTTGCCATGGGAATGTGTTTTTATGGAAATTCCCGTGGAAAATGAAAGATAAAAGTACGACGAAACTGTTTACGTTTGGATGGGAAAAAAAAAATAGAATACGTTTCCGACGAAAAGCCGTCGCGAGGGACCGATAACTCTAATTTATAATTCAAATGGTACTCCAGCCACATGTACAAATACACCTGTCTGTATTATGTACTTCACACATAAAACCTCGCGCTAACGAAGCGTGGCGCGACGCGTGAATCCCGCAACCAGCGGACACAAAAAGTATGATCTCTCCCTCGATTTGTAACCGATGATCGGTATAGAAAACGCTTCGTCGTCAACTCGTTAAATTGGTTTGTAAAACCTGATAGTGTAAGCACCGTCAGGTCCATTAAAGTGTCCATTGCTCGACGTTGTAAAGGTTTTTCCCGCGAGCGAGTTCCCCGGGGGGAAACAAAAGCCGAAATCAGCTGAGAGAGAGAGCCTGAGTCCATCCTATGGAGAAATGGTGGGGCGGGGAAGGCCAAGATCTCGGACGACTCTCTTAAAGAGAATTGGAAAAAAAAAGTAGCCAAACGGTAGCCGACGAGGTGTTATTTTTCTCAAACACCAGCAAAACAGACCCGCGTCACAATTCGCTGAGCAACAACTCACGGGAAGCTCTTGTCCGTGTATATGTATACACACAATGAGAGGTGTTCCCGGCATGCGGACTCGCCAGGGGTGGTGGGGGATAAAAATGCGTGGCGCGCGAATGAAAACGAGCCGAAGAATTCGAATTAACGGCCGTACGGGGTATAGACGTTGCGCGCAACATACTCTTACTTATAACTCCTTTCCTCGGACTCGATACGCCGCGGGAAACGATCGCCGGCAACAATTTACCTTTTCCGTCCCTCGGCTATATACTTTTTTTTTTTCATTCCTTCGGACTCGCGATTTTCCACACGCGCCCCGTCGATAGAGCACGTGGTCCAATATCCCGTGCACCGGAAAGGGCAAAAATGTCCATCATCCTCGTGACGGCCAACTTGGCGCACAGAGTCCCGGTAGCCGCGTTGAAAAATCAAAACACACATTCCGATTATCCCGGTCGAGTATTAGAGGCGAGCAGAAAAAATCACGGGGTGTCGAGAGTCGAAAGCCACGGGGGAGGGGGTGCCGCCTACTCCCCCAGCAGGAGCCTCGTAATTTACGACGCCTTCGGCTCTAACAGCACACGACTCTCGTTTCGCCAGGCCAGCAACGGGCATTTTACACACGAGCCTCCCCGAGTATACACGTATACACGGTACACTCGCGTGGGTGTTGGCGTACGTACAAGCCGGGGGTCCGGTTTTCTGCCGTGTTTATTTTTCGAGCACCCATATCTTTCCGCCGTCCGCGTCGCGGTGCCGGTCTCTCTCGCGAATCGAACAAATAAACTGACGCGGCCGCGCGAGAGAGAACGAGTTGTTTGCCAGGCCGAGAAACCGGACGACGAGGGCGAGTACACCGTATAGAGTTCGTTTTTCTCCCTCTCGCGTCTATACATATGTATTAAAGGACTAGACTGCGGGTTCACGTGTATATATAATATACATTGTGTACACTCGGCCGTGGTGAACCCGAGGCGAGAGGATTAAGCCTCCACGCGCACCTACACGACAATGCTGGAAATTAAATCTCTACCGTATAGGCCGGACACATCATCTTTTATCCTCCTGTACCCTGGGGATTATTGTCCTTTTTTTTTTTTTTTCCTTAAAGAGCTGTCGGGAGGGATTTTCTCCGATGCCATCGAGCCGTCCGATGGGCGTCTCAGATGTTTCGTCGCATGAAGCTGATTTTTTTCTGAGGGAGATGACGCGATACGAAGATAATGGACGAGTATATAGAGATGGCATTTGGCGAAAACTTTCCGACGACGGACCGGAATGTTTAGGAAATTTTTTGTACAAGCTTTTGACCGTTTTGCTTTCACCGTGTGTACATGCCCGTATGGGCTTCCAATTTGCAGCGCCGAGTCATAACACGCGAATAATTAATTCCCGGCGCATACAAGTGCGGAGCGAAAGAGGTCGCCAAAGAGGAGGAGGAAGAACGCGCTCTTTCTCTCTCTCTCTCTTTCTGTTTCCCCCTTTTTATCCTTCGGCACGAGTGCATATATAATATATACACTCGTGTTTCGGAAGCAATCACCCTCTTAACTCGATTAATTACAATTTACTCGTGACGAGGTTGTTTATACGCTACCCCATCCTCGGGCTTCTCTCCGCACGTCTATACCGTACACGTGCGTATACACACGCGACCCCCTCTTCACCGTATAATCGATGTATATATACAGCATACATGCACATCTGCATATTGTACACCAACAGCAAAACGCCGAGTACTGGAAACAACTCGTGCATCTATAAACGCTTAGCGGATTCAAAAGAGAAGCGCGCACGGGATGTATGGTATACAGATGTAACAAAGTGGAAAGGAGGGAAAGTAAATTGCGCGAAAAACCTTCGATCTGACGTGGAGGAGGAATACATCATACACCTTCCGACTAGCTGATGTATATCCAGCAGGGTTGTAATGGTGTTTTGATTTAAATGCGATGAATTACGAGGTGAGACAACATCGGCTCCTCTGACGGAAGGATTTACGGTCGGGAGAGATGATTTGCTGACCGGTTTTGGGGTTGGATTGGGTGAGGGTACTAGAAGCACAAACATTCCTTCGCTGAAAAATCTTCTCTTTGATAGTTCTTTCGCGTGAATCGGATGGTACAATAGAGCCAAGCGGTCATATGGATATACCACACAGTATACAATATATTATGACCGAGTTCGAGTCCTGCACCCAAACTCGTCTACTTAGTAGATCTGTGAGTTGACTAACAAAAATGGCTACGAGTGCGTGCCATACCATGATATAAAATAACATTAATAAATTAGTGTAATCTCGACACTTGTAAGATTAATTTTTTTTTCTCCTCAACGCATGTTATATATTATGTGGTATCAAATGATTACAGAAATAGACCTGCTCATTTTTGTCACATGCGATAAAAACAAATAGCAAACAAAAGAGCTGTCATTTCAGCTGTAGCAAGCCGAGAGGAAAAAGGCATCGAGGAAAAAATGAAAATACTTTGGTATGAATGCACGTAATGCAAGTATAGGTATAAATATTATTAAACGTACAAATAGGGAGAGGAGAAGTATACCAACATTGTGAACGAAAGAGAGGACAACAGGTATAACTATGGGAGTAAGGAGAGAAAAAAGACGGTCCATTATTTCGGGGCAGAAAAATAATACTATTGCTCGCATACGTGATGTAAAATATGTATACATGAAACGAAATTGGAAAAGTTCCTTCGCCCACACTGTGTATGCGCGTACACATGAATACTCGCGCAATAACGCTAAAGGGAAGAGGAGAGTAAATCCCATGTATCTCGTATACATATATACGCGGTGTAGCTTCCATAGCTTTGCCTCTTATCTCGTTACGCGTCGACGAGGCACTTAACAATTGCCGTCGCGAATCGATGCGCCGCTTATAGTTATAACGAGCCCCTCGCTCCGCAGCTCAGCCCTCGACAACAACAGCATGCGCATATGGAAGGCGGTGCCCATACATGGAGAGCCGTTGTCCATTTTTTTTTTTTTTTTTTTTTTTCATACCCTCGTGTGGCGTTTTGTTTGCCTTTCGACGTCAATTTGCATGGAAATGAGCCAAAGACGGCTCAGCTATATGGTATAATAGGCGAGCAGGTATACGCGTGTGTGTTTTGCACGTAGATGGCGAAACGAAGGATATATGAGTGACGAGAGAGAGAGCTGCTGCTACACGCCACGTGAATTTCAATACGTTTCGACCCTATGTACGGGCACCCGTCGATATTGTTGGGTTTTATTGTATAGGTACCGATGAGGTGTGTCCCGTTCCTTGCAAATAAATCCTTTTTTTTTTTTCCTTTCGCGCGTGACTTGAAAAGTACAAGTTTTTACGGCACATATAATATAAATGAGTAGTCAAACTTTGGAAACTGAGAATTTCGGATTTACCTACTTTCGGCTCTTGACGCTTAGTCAACGCGATCTCGTTACTTTTACCATTTGGATTTTACGAGTGAAACGTGTTTTTTTCAAACGTTATTCGTCACTATGTTTCAGATTTTTAAACAATAATTTGGAGATTACTGTAGTACAGTTTTAGACACTATATAGTACAGTTTCTTTTTTTTTTTTCGTTTTCAGTATTTACTAAAATCGAAATAGCACTTGAGTTGTATTTTTAAAATCGTTTTTGCATTATTTCCTTAAAATTTTTAACAGCTCCTCGTACACGTTTGTTTTCAATTTTCGATGCTCCGCTCCTAGAATTCGTTCATGACATAAATGTCAAACTTTTGGGAGCATCAAATACTACCTCA